TCTGCTGATGGTGTGACTGAGCCGCGGGGAAGGGCCCCGGGCACCATTCATCTAAAGGTTGGAGAACGGATGCTTCAAGTTCTCCCAGCGTCGTGAACAGCTTACAGAACTCCTACTCGAGTCAGCACAAAGGTCTCCAGCGGAAACCATCCAGGAACGAGGAGACCCTCACACAGACCCAGTTTGCTGCGCTCCCGTTTCTCGGTCTTAGGACGGGATGATCATGGGCGCTGCGGCACGTTTTGCTGGATGGCCGAAGACCTAGAGGCGTTGGTGTAATTCTAGGTCCGCCGTGCCCTGCATTTACTTATTCTTTAAATATGATGGGAATAACTGCGATTTGCTAACATTATCGAATGTCTATAACGTGGGAGACACCATGCTAGGGACAAAGAGGGGGAGCCAATGTTGCCCCTATTTATTTAAGAGATTTTTAGACACAAATCAGTGCAGTGATAAGTTCCAAGTAGCAGCATGCAGACTGCGTTTCCTCCACCTGCGAGGCGGGGGTCTGAAATAGCTGAGCAGCTCGATTCCAAGCAGGTGCATCTGGAGGTGCAGTTAGCCGTCTGGTTCAGAAGCCCAATGCGAGGACTGCAGACAGTTCCTAAGCCTCGGCCTCTCCTTCAGCCTCCCTGGAAGCTCACCTCTCCCCTTTTCTTTAAAAAAGAAATTTCTCTCTCTTTTTTAAATTAAACACATTATTTACATTATTCTAATTCTTTATTGTTTAAAGTATTACATACCGTATTACATATGTCTCCCTTTTACCCCATTGACCTCTCCCTGGCCAACCCCAACCCCTATTTATTTATTTTTAAATCCTCACCAGAGGATATTTTTCCGTTGATCTTTTAGAGAGTGGAAGAGAGTGGGAAAGACAGAACTATCGATCGATGTGAGAGAAACACATCAATTGGTTGCCTCCTGCACGAGCCTGACCAGGGCCTGGGCCAAGGGTGAAGCCTCCAATTGAGGTACGTGCCCTTGACCAGAATTGTGGGGCGCGGTTACGGTGTTTTGGCCAGGTTCAAACCCCGGACTAATGAAAGGACAGGGTCCTCTCATTGCCACATGCAAGTCCCAGATGGAGGGCAGGGCCCTCCCAGCACAATCATAGCCAACGGCTGTGGTTGTAAGCTTGAACCTATGGTCCAAACACGTAGCCCCACGTGCCTTGTGATAGAGTTCGGGTGCATGTAGTTAAGTGAGGTTGAAACTCTCGAGAATACTGTAAACAACGTTATCACGCCCCTACTTTGCCTCGTGGCATCTGCTATAAAATAAAGACATGGCTTGTGGGCGCTGTCCTTGTCTCCTCATCAGGGAGCAGCATCCCACCGAGACCCAGCTATTATTCTCTTGCCTGTCTTTCCTTAATCCTTTCACCGCCCGCCCCCCCCACTTGGGATCACCCTTGGTCGTGCTGGCATGGCACACAGAATCAAACCCAGGGCCCTTTGGTCCGTAGGGCTATGCTCTATCCACTGGGCCAAACCGGCTAGGGCTGGACTCTCCCTTTTTAAAAACTATTTTTTAAATTGATTTTTAGAGAGAATGGAAGGGAGAGGGTGAAAGAAATATCGATGTGAGAGAGAATATCAATCAGCTGCCTCCTACATGCCTCCTATCAGTGATTGAGTCTGAAACCCAGGCTTGTGCCCTGATGGGGAATTGAACCAGCAACCTTTTGGTGCACGGCATGACGCCCAACAACTGAGCCAAACAGGCCAGGGCTCACCTCTCTTTAATATATTCTGATGAGTAAGAATGTAGTGGAGAATACCAATTCTTAAGAGAATGGGAGCCCAGCTGGCGTGGCTCAATGGTTGAGCATCAACCTATGAACCAAGAGGTAAAGATTTTTTAAAAATATATATTTTATTGATTTCTTACAGAGAGGAAGGGAGAGGGATAGAGAGTCAGAAACATCGATGAGAGAGAGAGAGACATCGATCAGCTGCCTCCTGCACACTCCCCACTGGGTATGTGCCCACAACCAAGGTACATGCCCTTGACCAGAATCGAACCCGGGACCCTTGAGTCTGCAGACTGACGCTCTATCCACTGAGCCAAACCGGTCAGGGCAAGAGGTCAAGATTTGAATCCTAGTCAGGGCACATGCCTGGGTTGCAGGCTTGATCAATGATTCTCTCCCATGTTTACTTGGCCCATGTTAGCTTTTGAGTCTGACGTGCTTGTTGTGGAGATTCTGGTGAATCCCACAGGTTCTAAGGAATGGTTTCAACAACCAGCCTTTGTGCAGGACGGGAACCAGGAAAGACAGGTGTTCTCCCTAGAGCAGCGTTGTCCAGTGGAAACGTCTACCAATGAGAATGTTCTAGGTCTGCTTGTCCAGTACACAGCCATAAGCTACAAATGATATCAAGCACCTGAAATGTAGCTAGTACAACTGAGACACTGACTTTTTTGTTTTATTGTCATGAAATTCAAATAGCCACGTGGGGCTAGTGGTTCTTGTGATGCACGGTGTACCTTTAAAGCTTTGCCATTAACGCGACTCAGCTGCAGTTATTCTCAGCTTCTGTCTCAGTTCAAAATTGCACATCTCTTGGAGGGAATATGCAAATGATGCAGTTTGGGTAAGAGGTTCTCTCCGGGATCGGCCAACCATGGCCAGGATCACACAGTACAGAAATGGCTGCTGAGGGCTTTTCTGGGTTTCTGAGTCTTGGTGCATGATCAAGTCGGCCACAGTGGCTTCCAGCCCAAGGGAAGGAGAAAGAGAGCGTGCACACAGTCTCAAGACCTGGGCCCAGAAATAACAGTTTTTCAGCTTATGTTGCTTTGGAGAGACTTAATTCTGTGGTCACACCTAACTGCAAGGGAGGTTGGGAAATGTAGGTTAGCAATGGGCCCCGTAAGACTGAAAAAATAATTTTAAAATTTTTTACTGATTTTGGAGAGGGAGAGGGAGAGAGGGAGAGAAGGAGAGAGGGGGAGAGAGAGAGAGAGAGAGAGAGAGAGAGAGAGAGAGAGAAACATTAATGATAAAGAATCATTGATCAACGGCCTCCTGCACGCCCCACTCTGGGATTGAGCCTGCAATCTGGGCATGTGCCCTGACCTGGAATGGAACCATAACCTCCTGGTTCATAGTTCAACACTCAACCACTGAGCCATGCAGGCCGAGCTGAAAAAATGTTTTTTAAAAATATATATTTTATTGATTTTTCCACAGAGAGGAGGGGAGAGGGATAGAGTCAGAAACATCGATGAGAGAGAAACATCAATCAGCTGCCTCCTGCACGGCCCCTACTGGGGATGTGCCCACAACCAAGGTACATGCCCTTGACCGGAATCAAACTTGGGACCCTTGAGTCCACAGGCCAACGCTCTATCCACTGAGCAAACCGGTCAGGGCGAAAAAATGTTTTTAAAATGGGCAATTAGTAGTTTTGTTTTCTTATATTTTTATTGATTTCAGAAAGGAAGAGGAGAGGGAGATAGAAACATCAATGATGAGAGGGAATCATTGCTTGCCTGTCTCCTGCACACCCCGTACTGGGGATGGAGCCCGAAACGCAGGCATGTGCCCTTGACCAGGAATCAAACCTGGGACCCTTTAGTCCGCAGGCCGATGCTCTATCCACTGAGCCAACCCGGCTAGGGCAGGCAATTAGTAGTTTTTAGTACAAGTGGTTAGAATACAAAAAATAATAATACATATTTCCTGCCTTCAAGAATATCACAGGTTTGGTGAGGAGACAGGTGAATATTTAACTAGCAATGAGTAAGGAACATGCTGTACGAACTTAAAGAAAAGCATGGCTTAGAGCAGTATTTCTCAAACTTTAATGTATTACGAACCACCTGGAAATCTTGTTAAAATGTTGATTCTGACTCAGGGCAGGGGGGCAGTGTATGCAGATGATGCCAATGTTGCTGGTCCTTGGTCCTGTCTTTGAGGAGCAAGTGATTGCAGATTTGGCAACACTGAATGGCATTTACACCACACCTTTGCTCATAGCATAGTGATTAAGAGACTTTCAGTTTAAGTAGACATGACAGAATCTTAAATTTACAGAATTAACCAAGTATTCATACATTCATTATTCACATTAAAAAATTTAATTGAAAATCTAAAAAATATGAGAGGTAGTTGTATATTTTAACATTCTAGTAAATATTATAAATTAGAGGTTCTAGGAGAAAGGGAGCTAAATTCTAAGAGAATAAATATGTGAAGGACAACTCATGATCTTGGGGGAAAAATAAAAGTGGAAGGAAAAATATTTCCAAAATATATTTTAAAAATTGTTAGACATGCATTAGTGACAACAGAAAGAAGGCAATCACTCCTGGTAGCATCAACGTGAGGAGTCGAGTCTGGGTCTTAGTCCTGGTCCTCTCTTACCTCGTCGTTGCCATGACTTTGGGGCACTTGGTTTAGTTATTCCAATTTTCTTAAAGCCTAAAAACTACATTACTAACAACTCTGCTTTACATATTGTGTGTCTTGGGTAAACTCGTGGGTGTGGGTACTGATGGGGGGGCAGGGGGAGGACTCTGATAGGAAGCACAATCCGGCAGCTAGTTGGCAGCTAGTTGCATCCTGTAATGCAGTGGTTCACAGCCTGACGTGCTGCAGGCCCAGCGGGCTGGTTAAACACAGAGAGCTGGGCTCCCCTGAATTATGGATTCAGCAGGTTTGGGAATGGGCTCAATAATCTGAACTTGTAACAAATTCCCAGATGTGCTGATGTACTGGTTTGGTGCACACTATTTGAGAACCATTATTCTAATAAAGTCAGTAGTCACAAGGCCAAAGAACTAGGTCAGTGATGGCGAACCTATGACACGCGTGTCAGAGGTTTTGCGCGAACTCATTTTTTTGGTTGATTTTTCTTTGTTAAATGGCATTGATGTGCTAATGTACTGGTTTGGTGCACACTATTTGAGAACCATTATTCTAATAAAGTCAGTACTCACAAGGCCAAAGAACTAGGTCAGTGATGGCAAATCTATGACACACGAACTCATTTTTTTGGTTGATTTTTCTTTGTTAAATGGCATTTAAATATATAAAATAAATATCAAACATATAAATCTTTGTTTTACTATGGTTGCAAATATCAAAAAATTTCTATATGTGACACGGCACCAGAGTTAAGTTAGGGTTTTTCAAAATGCTGACACGCCGAGCTCAAAAGGTTCGCCATCACTGAACTAGGCAGACACTAGGAAAAGCAGTATCTCCCTGTATAGGTTTTCAAGACAGAACATTAGTTACAAGTTTATCACCTGCTCAAAAAACAAGGGGGTATATATTAATCTTCAAGGATTGTAACTGAAAAAATTAGTAGTTGGAGGAAATTTCTTTCCAAGGATAAACCCAAACCTTAATAAACTTTAAAGAGAGTGTGTGTGTGCCTATTTAAGGATTGTTGCAGAATCCAGTGTTATGCGAATGGCCTGCTCAGCTAGCCTATCTAAATTTTGCTATCAACATCTTTGGACTAAATTAAAAATGAATATTGTAAATTCAATATTTCTGCCTGCAGTAAAATTCAAATTAAGAGTTTCTAAATATTTCCTATCCCTGTGGAAATAAGAAGATAAAAATCTTAACCTCAATTGTCTTTTAACCTCATTATAAAACAAAGTAGTAAAAAATAATTCATCTGGTAAATGTGTTGTTTGTAGACACTAGCCATCTATTGGAAACACATTTCTATTAAAATTGTTCTCAATGTCTTAGATTTAGAGCACTTGATATCTAAACCACGCTGAGATTTTATTTTACAGGTCAAAACATGTGGATAAAAATACATTAGAATAATTAATGAAGCCGTTCTAATTTAGCCTGAAGAGACTTGAAATTCCCTGTGATGGTTTGTACTGCTGTTGACGGGCTCATAGACTGTAGCTCAACCAGGTAACCACAAATAGCATCCAGGCAGAGATTTGTAAATCTTCTCCTGCAAGGCAAAGACACCGCATCAACTCTGTGCATTTACACACATTCCTTCCCTCCAACTTCTGTTAACCTTACTCACCTCCCCCACAGAAGCGCAAGGATCATGCCATTTAAGTAAATGGCAAACAAATAAGGAAACTCAGGGGGTAGGTGGATTATAAAGATGATTATAACTAAGAGGCAGTAAAGGATGATTCCATAAATGAGTATTTTTTACAATCTTTTGGCCTTTCAAACAAATATACCTTAAAATGGCCAATAATATCACAAAGTCATAATTAAACTGTCCTTGGTCACTAATTCAAAGCAGAAGGAATTTAGAAGTAGTTCATAAATTATATTCTTTCACTTGTAGAAAGAATTCAAGATACAGGTTAAAAAATTGAAAAAAAACTCTAACCTTTCTTTCATATATGCTGATTAGTATCATTCAAATAGTTCTCGTTAACATTAAAAGAGCTTAAATCTCCTATACTTCTTTATAATCACAGTATCTTTCCCCATTCTCTCCAAATTTGTTATCCAGGTACTTATTAGAAGCATTTAATAATGCAATATCTAATTCATAGTTACCTCTCACAATTTAAAACCTGGCTAGGATTCTCAACATATCTGGTCAATAGTACATGTAAACAATCCAAAAGGTGCAGTGGCTTCTTCATTCTGTTCCAGAATGGATCCTATATAGAAAATACACATTGTGAGTTATAAAGCAAACTGTGTCCACTGCTCAACCATTTATGTTAGTTAAAACAGCCATCAGAGTCCAAGGCAAATCATGTGGTTACTAAACTACTTTCTGGTTATGATTAACATTTGAACAATATTGAAAACTGCACTGTGATGTTATTTCGAGGACTATCGGATGTATCAGTCTACTCTGTAGAGCGTGTACTAGTAAATGTCCTGTTTAGGAACCAGAGGTGAAAGAAACAACCATCTCTTCCTAGCATCTGTGACATCACTTTTACTTTGACCTACGCAGACTTAGTCTGATATTGTAAATGAGAGACTAAATTAGTAGTCAAAGAATCTTAGTTCTAGTTCTGGCTTTACCTGTTAACTAGCCATGTGAGTTGAGCAGATTATTTAACACTAGAGGCCCAGTGCATGAAATTCATGCACTGGTAGGGTTCCTAGCGGTTGCCGGCCAGGTACTCCCTTCCCCAGCCGGGAACCAGAGGTGAGAGAAACAACCATCTCTTCCTAGCATCTGTGACATCACTTTTACTTTGACCTACGCAGACTTAGTCTGATATTGTAAATGAGAGACTAAATTAGTAGTCAAAGAATCTTAGTTCTAGTTCTGGCTTTACCTGTTAACTAGCCATGTGAGTTGAGCAGATTATTGAACACTAGAGGCCCAGTGCATGAAATTCATGCAGTGGTAGGGTTCCTAGCGGCTGCCGGCCAGGTACTCCCTTCCCCAGCCACCTGCCTCCGCCACCACCAGCCTGGGCCTCCCTCCCTTCCCCCAGCCAGCCCCGCCCCCTCGTCAAACTCCTGGTGGAGGGGACAATTTGCATATTATGCTTTTATTATATAGGATTTCTGCCCTTGTCAGATGCAGTAGAAAAGGGGATAATACTACTTGCTCATTTCTATCACACATTCATTGTGAGGCTTAAATGAGATACACAAATACCTTCTAAAGCATATGGACATTTTTATGATGCTACTATAAAAGACATGATCTAGTTCACAAGGTTTTATTTGGATCTTTTATCATAGGACAAAAATTACAAGGTATAGTCTAATAACTGATTTTCAAACCATGTGTCATAATGCTATTTAGTCAGGGGCACTGACCTCTTTTCCCTCAGACTGTCAAACAAAAAAAATGACAACAGTCAACACAATAGCCATCTGGTGTGCATGCCCTGTCTTGAACCATAACTATATAGGTCATAACAGAGTTTCATCTTATTGATCATGTTGCATAATAAGGTTGCATCTGATTGGTTAATTCTTGGAACCAGAAATCTTTATATACAAGTATAGGCACCTGATTTTTTTAAAAAAGTCACTTTGACCCCACCGGTGGTTGAGCGTTGATCTATGAACCAGGAGGTCATGTTTCTATTCCCAGTCAGGGTACATGCCTGGGTTGCAGGCTCAATCCCTACTGGGGGGTATAAAAGAGGATCCCGATCAACGATTCTCATCATTGATGTTTCTATCTCTCTCTTCCTCTCCTTTCCTCTCTGAATTCAATAAAAACATATTAAAAATTTTTTTAAGAAGTCATGTTGGAGCAAAAGGGTAGGTAAGTACTATGATTATTTTTTATAAACCAATAAAAATTATCAGATTGGTAAAAAATATTTTTTGGTGTGCTGATGAATTTTAGAAATTCGTTTTGTGTGCCAATGAGATGAAAAAGGTTGAAAATCACTGGTCTAATCAGTGAGAAGGCCCTTTAAGCACTAGTATTTTAGATGAGGTTTCAGTTAATAGAGCTGAAAGGGTTAGCGAGGTAGCTTAACTAGGAAGGGTTAGGGAATGAGGAGGGCCCATGGGAGAGGAAGACAAGATGGAGACTTGAAGACGCCAGGGTGCTTATTTTACTTGTACAGAGGACAGAGAAAAGCCACAGGAAGAGGGGGTCCAGGCAGATGGAAACATTTCTGGCCTGAGCAATTAAAACAGCCATAAACCAAAGACAGACAGGGTATCTCTGGCCTGAACAGCTGGGAGATCTAAGGCAACTCCAATCAGCAAGATAAGGGGGAGAGAAGGAGGGAGGCACCACGTGGGCTTTGAGCTTTGAAACTAATACCATGGAGCAGAATGACCAATGAGGAAAGCAGGGGCATCCCAAATTAAGGACAGGGACCAATAAAAAGGTCAGATTCAAACAAAGAACTGCAGCATATATTAACTGGAGACAAAGGGACATGAGGTGGGATTTTCTGAGTTTCCCATTAGAGAGAGAGAGCAGGCTTTTCCCACTGAGGGGGCCTCTCCCCACGGGGGCCCCTTTGGGGACACCCATGCCCAAGGACAGGGACCAATAAAAAGGTCAGATTCAAACAGAGAACTGCAGCATATATTAACTGGAGACAAAGGGACATGAGGCGGAATTTTCTGAGTTTCCCATTAGAGAGAGAGAGAGAGAGCTTTTCCCACTGAGGGGGCCTCTCTCTATGGGGGCCCCTTTGGGGACACCCATGCCCAGATAGAGTTTGTCTCTGCTTCCAATACACTTCTACATTTTTTATTAAAGAAACCTTTTTGTCCATCGAGTTTATTCTTCAAACTTCATGAGGACAAGAACCCCCTGGAAGAAAAGTCTGCACCCCAAACCCCACATTTCAGTTATTTCCTTTAAAGTACATGATGATTCTTAATGTAATGTGTTTAGCCCAGCTGTAGGCAAACTACAGCCCGCGGGCCGGATCCAGCCCGTTTAAAATGAATA